ATTGTATCTGGTCTATTTTAATTGGTGAAGTCCCTCAATTCCTACATGTACCGTGTTCACTCCTATCATTCCACACAGGGCTGTGCTGTGTCAGAGCTGTGCAAATCTCAGGACTGGATGCACAGAAATACAAACCCTTCGGCAGGTAAAACAACTCCAATATAAATATTTAATCTCTTCTAGTGGCAATTTCTTTTTTATAATCACTCAGTTTCAGTCCCAGACAATGGTCTAGGGTTGCCACCTTTTCTTCAAGTAAAACCCGATCACTCTATCGGCGCAGCTTTTTTTTTGTCTCACCAGGGGTCAGGAGGTGTCAGGAAGACAGAGGAGAAGATGAGCGGGTCAGTACCTGTTTACAGGCGCCCATGGCTCACAGTAGGATGCCGCTTCAAGCAGATGCAGCTGCCTGAGGTCCCATGCTTGCTGGGCACCTCAGCAGCCTCATCTGTTAAAAAAAAATTAAACTGCTGGTATCGGCACCTAGTGTCTTGTGTCCGGGTGGCACTTGGCCTGCCACCCGGACACAAGACTCAAAAACTGGACTGTCCGGGTGAATCCCAGACAGGTGGCAACCCTACAATGGTCAGCAGGACAGACAGAGAGATAAACAATGGGGACACAGGCAACAACTAAAAATGGACGTTCTAGACCCTCAACATCAATATGCAAACCTAAAAAAATGTGGCTATATATGTACTTTAAACTCTGGCACACAGCTCCCCATCCCCTTTCCTAGGCACATCCCGGGGTCATCAGAATCCCCCATTTCATTCCAATTACCTGCCTAGGATTTGGCCAACATGGTTAGATCTGCCAGTCCTTCAGGGGATTACTCCATGTACAAGCACTGCCAGATATTTACTTATTATTACCCAGCCAATTAATATTTAAATACAGAATCGTGCAGGGAAAAGAAAACACAATTCCTGACACACAGAAGCCATGCTGAGAATAAAGCAGAGGAAAAGCCTCATCCGGGGCATGTGGAGGAGAATGGCCGCTTCAACCACGCTCATTATCTTATCCCACAATCATCGTCTCATCAACCTGTTCAGATATGAATATTATTATAGCACTGTCCCCATACTCCTGAATGGGAAGTACCTCTTGAAGGAGCCACAGCTCCTGTGTTCATCATGGTGAATTGCCTATTACATATACAATATCAATAATAGCTGGCTGTGTATTGATATGTGCGGAAAAGGTATGCCCTCGCCCGCTATGTTTTTATGTGGATTGTTGTTGAACTCAATAAACTTTATTTTTAAAAAAAAATCAATAACAGAACATGCAGTAAATTCTTCTTAAAGCATGAAATAAAATGTTATCAGAATTTAACGTATACTGTATCTAAAGCCAAACATTTTTTTTTTATTTGGATAGAGTAGGAATTTGTTAAAATCCATCTCTGTCCCATTTGGTATATATTCCTTTACTTCCTGTTCTGACAAAAGAGGAAGTGAGATGATATATATCCAAAGTGAGGGTGATGCCCTCTTAGACAGTTATCACCATTGGAAGACTTCACCTCTATTGCTGATCTGATGGCAACTTAACATTTTGGATTTTTTGTCCCTCAAGCCTCAGTCATGACAGGCATTTTAACTCAAGTGTACACTATATGGCTAAATGTTAGTGGACACCTGGCAATCAACTATATGACACCCATATGAGCTTGTAGGGACATGCCTTTCCCAAACCATGGGCATTAATACGGAGTTGGCTCCCTCTCTGTGGCTAGTGGCCACTCGAGTTTCTCAACACCAAACCCATCAAATCATGTCTTTAACAACTGCATTGTGTTGGGTCCCTTTCTGTAGCTAGAGCAGCTTCTGCTCTTCTAGGAATGCTTTTCACAAGATTCTGGTGTTGGTGAGTTCTGTAGGAACTTGTGCCTGTTCAGCCTAAAAGCATTTGTGAGATACAGTTCTGATGTAGAAAAAAAGTCCTGGCTTCCCAATCTGCATTCCATTCCATCCCAAATGTGTTTAATAGGGTTTAGGTCTGGATCTTGGTGGACGCCATTCAAGGTCCTCAACACCAAACTCATCAAACCATGTCTTTATGGAGCTGGGGGCACAGGGTCACGCTGGAAGAGAAAAGGACCTTCCTCAAACTGACACAAGGCTAGATGCACACAATTGTGTAAAATGTATACTTACTCCTGACTCCTGCACTGTGCATTACTTATTTCTGAGCCCTGCACTCTCTGTTACTTATTTCTGAGCCCTGCACTCTGCGTTACTTATTTCTGAGCCCTGCACTCTGCATTACTTAGTTCTGACCCCTGCACTCTATGTTACTTATTTCTGAGCCCTGCACTCTGCATTACTTATTTCTGAGCCCTGCACTCTGCATTACTTAGTTCTGACCCCTGCACTCTATGTTACTTATTTCTGACCCCTGCACTCTATGTTACTTATGCCTGACCCCTGCACTCTATGTTACTTATGCCTGACCCCTGCACTATCTGTTACTTATTGCTGACCCCTGCACTCTGCATCACTACTCCTGAACCCTGTACTCTGCATTACTTTCTCCTGACCCCTGCACTCTGCATTACTTCTAATCCCTGCACTCTGTATGACATACTCATGACCCTTGCTCTCTGCATTGCTTAGTCCTGACCACTGCACTCTGCATTACTTTCTCCTGGCCCATGGACTCTTTGTTACTTCTGATCCTTGCACTCTGCATGACATACTCCTGATTCTTGCACTCCGCATGGCATACCCCTGACCCTTGCACTCTGCATGACATCCTCCTCACCCCTGCACTCTGCATTACTTAGCCTTGACCACTGCACTCTGCATCACTTACTCCTGACCCCTGCACTCTCCATTACTTATTCATGACCCCTGAAATCTGCTTTACTTATTTATGACCCCCACACTCGGCAATACTTACTCCTCACCCCTGCACTCTGCATTACATCCTCCAGCCAGGAAATGAGGCGGGCTCTATCTGACTTGCTGCAGCTTCTAATGCACATTGTGAGAAGCTCCCAGTGTGCAGTGAAATCAGAGGAAGACATTTCAGTCCAGGAGAGGAGCCGGTACAACTGTGCAAGACTGAAGGGAAGGCCAGAGTTCAGCTTTAAACTTTCTAATAGTTGGGAGATTTTCCTTGGTAGGCCATGTAAAATGACAGAGCGGGGTCAGCGCATGCTGAAGCGCACAGTGTGCAGAAGTCGCCAAGTGTCTGCAGAGTCAATAGCTACAGACCTCCAAACTTCGTGTGGCCTTCAGATTGGCACAACAACTGTGTGTAGAGAGCTTCACCAAGTGCAATGCAAAGCATCGGATGCAGTGGTGTAAAGTCCGATGGACGTGTCTGGGTTTGCCGGTTGCCAGGAGGACGGTACTTGCCTGACTGCATTGTGCCAAGTGTAAAGTTTGGGGGAGGGGGGGGATTATGGTGTGAGGTTGTTTTTCAGGGGTTGGGCTTGGCCCCTTAGTTCCAGTGAAGGGAACTCTTAAGACATCAGCACACCAAGACATTTTGGACAATTTCATGCTCCCAAATTTGTGGGAACAGTTTGGGGATGGCCCCTTCCTGTTCCAACATACTCCAGCCAGGAAATGAGGCGGGCTCTATCTGACTTGCTGCAGCTTCTAATGCACATTGTGAGAAGCTCCCAGTGTGCAGTGAAATCAGAGGAAGACATTTCAGTCCAGGAGAGGAGCCGGTACAACTGTGCAAGACTGAAGGGAAGGCCAGAGTTCAGCTTTAAACTTTCTAATAGTTGGGAGATTTTCCTTGGTAGGCCATGTAAAATGACAGAGCGGGGTCAGCGCATGCTGAAGCGCACAGTGTGCAGAAGTCGCCAAGTGTCTGCAGAGTCAATAGCTACAGACCTCCAAACTTCGTGTGGCCTTCAGATTGGCACAACAACTGTGTGTAGAGAGCTTCACCAAGTGCAATGCAAAGCATCGGATGCAGTGGTGTAAAGTCCGATGGACGTGTCTGGGTTTGCCGGTTGCCAGGAGGACGGTACTTGCCTGACTGCATTGTGCCAAGTGTAAAGTTTGGGGGAGGGGGGGGATTATGGTGTGAGGTTGTTTTTCAGGGGGTGGGGTTGGCCCCTTAGTTCCAGTGAAGGGAACTCTTAAGACATCAGCACACCAAGACATTTTGGACAATTTCATGCTCCCAAATTTGTGGGAACAGTTTGGGGATGGCCCCTTCCTGTTCCAACATAACTGCACACCAGTGCACAAAGCAAGGTCCATAAGTAAGATGAGTGAGTTTGGGGTGGAGGAACTTGACTGGCCTGCACGGAGTCCTGACCTCTACCCGATAGAACACCTCTGGGATGAATTAGAGTGGAGACTGCGAGCCCAGCCTTCTCGTCCAACATCAGTACCTGACCTCACAAATGTCAAACATTCCCATAGACACACTCCTAAACCTTGTGGACGCCTTCCCAGAACAGTTGAAGTTGTTATAGCTTTAAAGGGCGGGCAAACCCAATACTGAACCCTACGGCCTAAGACTGGGATGCCATTAATGTTCATGTAAAGGCAGGCGTCCCAATACTTTTGGCAACATAGTGTATACAAGGGGGACAGTCATCCCAATGGCCACCACTGTAAGGGGGGCATTCTTCCCATTGACTAGCACTGTATGGGGGCCTTCTTCCCATTAGCCACCACTGGTAAGAGGGACATGCTTCCCATTGGCCATTACTGTAAAGGGGACATTCTTCCCATTGGCCACCACTGTAAGGGGGGCATTCTTGACCACCACTGTAAGGTTCCTTTTTTCTTACTGACCCCCGATTAATTTCCAACAGGGGTTCTCCTAGACATAAAAGTTATTTTAGGGGTTCCTCTGGGGTAAAAAGGTTGAGAAAGCCTGACCTAAATGTTCATAGACTCACAACATGTACAACAAAGGCAGGAGAGTTCTGGCAAGCACAGTAGAGTGTAAGCTGTGCGGACCAGTGACTCAGCAGCCATAATACAACTTTGGTCAATTAGCAGATCTGCACCCACCTCTTCCGCCTGCTTCCTGAGTGCCTTCTCCCGTTCATACTGCGTCAACAATTGTTCGTTATCCTCCTTCAGAAGCTCCGATTCCACCTCATGTTCTTGGTTCTCGGTCAGGACAGCATCCAGGTTCTCCAGCACATTGACCACCAGGGGCATCAGCTCCTTGACCACCTCTTCATCATAACACTGGATCAGACGCTCAAACTCCCTGTAGATGCTATTGGCCAGCCCCGACACCCGTTCCGACATAACCGACCCGGAACAGTAGTCATCCTGGTACACCACCCCATCGTCTATCTGTATCTCCATCATCTTGGAGGCTTGTCCAGTGCTCCAGGGATGGCACCCAATAAAATTAGGTTACCACCCTTTAGATCTGTCCCTTTCTGGGTATATAAACAACCTTTTAGCTAATATTTCTAACCTTTCCTTGAAGAAGGCGCATTGACTTGATATTTTTTAAGACAATACGGAATCAGTTCAGAGTTGACAGTCTATCAACGGATAGTGATGTACTCGCCCCTTCCGTCCTTTCAATTAGTGCAATATATAAGATAGAAATAAATTAAAGCTGCCAATAAGATTAAACTCTTCAAATAACAGTCCATTGATCTTCACTTAAGGTTATACTTTGTCTACATCAATGCTACATGCACGTCCCCATGTACAGTATATACAAGAACAGTTCTCCCTTGACGTGGCCGGCTATTGCTATAAGGGTCTATATCTGCTCCAGGGCAATGCAGCACCGCTCTCCATCAGCCGGAATGACTTGGGTGCCCCCAGATCTGTGCCAATCTCTTATTCTTCCTCGTCTTCGGCAACCTTTACAGTCATGGCTGTCTCGATTACGGGCCCAGCAGCAGCAGCGACAAGCATGGATGACGTGCAAGAACACAGATTTACACCTGCAAATACAGTCCGTGCAACCATTTACCCACAAGGCTTATACCATGCAAGATTTATGAATCAGAGGGGGGTTAGGGCATCCTTGCCTACGTAGATTGGCTTGATTGACGGCAGATCCTAACACTTCATCCCTGACGTGCCCGGTGAATCAGATAATTGTGTATGTGGAGGTTACGTCCATGCGGATGGTGGCCAAGGCAGAGCCCTGGTATAGATGCATCTTCCTTTCTCGTATAGGATCCGTGCACCTGCTTCCTCCCTCCCCCACCCTGTGCCGATACCCTGGATGCAAATCCTGTCTGTAAAATGGATGGAACACACCTGCACCGGTCCTGGGGATGATCCTGCTGATGATGTTGTTGCCTAGGTGTCAGAGGGACCCCTCCATCTCATTATAGAGGCAATGGTGGTCCTGGCAGACGAAGGCACCTCCCAGCTTTGCTGTGTGTGGGAATAGGAGGCAGGATCTCCCCTCCCTCCTCTGACAAGGCTGCTGATCTGACGTCAGGCATGTCTGCATTATGGGTAAAGAATACAGCTGATTCACTCCCAGCATCTCCTGCACAGCAAA